AGAAGGTAAATTTTGCAAAACGCGCGCGAGAGCGCCCGCGGTGGTAGATTATCCTAATCTCATTATTTTTCTTGCGATAAATGATGCCATCAACCAAGTAGAATGCCAAGTTGAAGAAGAAGGGGTAGCGCACCTCGCCGCGAGCGATGCAGGCAAAATGTCGGCGGGATGCGATGGCACACGTATCTGCATGCATGCATATACGCTCGTGCACTTACACACACATATGCATATTGATATATATATATATATATATATGTGTGTGTGTGTGTGTGTGTGTGTGTACATGTATGTATATGTATATGTAGATTATATTTTAGATATATATTTGTGTATGTATATCGATTATAAGCTATAATTAATAAGGGAAAACTCAGAATTAATAGTATGTTTATTACAGTCCAGACGGTCAACAGTTACATTACTGAAAATCTCTTCGATATAAAAATTAATCTTTAGTACAGTTATTAGATTATACATGAGTAGGTGTGGTGTAGTGAATATAGTACTTGCGTTTCAATTTGTAAATCAAGGTTCAAATCCTTTCATCAATCCATTTTTTTTTATAATATGATAATGTTTTATGGTAGAAATAATTATTATGAATATAAAAAAATTAATTATTTTATTACAGATTTTTATTATAAATTATCACCTGAACCAAATTTAGGATGAAAGTTTAAATATTTCGCAAAATATGCCGCTTGATTCTTATATATGTCTCGTGAAAAATTAATACATTATTAAACATTTTACACTTCAAAGTATATTTTGTATCCCACCACATAAATATAATTTTTCACATACTGCTTATACATGCGTTTGTAAATATTCTATAATATATTTAGTTGCCTATAAAAATATACATCCCATGATGGTTGCATTACAAACGCATGCATCTTTATTAGAAAAATGTTGCAATATAACTAACATAAAAGATGCGATCAAGATACATGCCTTGATACATCATTAGTTACAAATAGCGGTATGAAAAGATAATAACATTTGGTAGTGCGATACAAAATAACTCTTGGAGTGTACAATTTTCTGCAAGTCATATATAAGAAACATAGCAAGCATAAAGTGGCATATTCCGCGAAATATTTAGAATGTTTCAAAGATGTAGATTTTATTTAATTTTATTAAAACTTTCATCCTAAATTTGGTTAAAGTGATAATTTATAATAAAAATCTGTAATAAAAATAATTAATTTTTTTATATTCATAATAATTATTTCTATCATAAAACATTATCATATTATAAAAAAAAATTAATTGATGGTAGGGTTTGAACCTTGATTTACAAATTCAAACGCAAGTACTATATCCACTATACCACAGTTACTCATGTATAATCTAACTGTGGAGACTAATTTTTATATGGAAAAGATTTTCAGTAACGTGACCGTCTGTACTCTAAAGGCCATTGCACGTGAAAACATTTTAGTCGTAATTGTAAGGCCGTAAGCATATCGACCAAAAACAATCAAGCATTTTAAAATGTAATAAGAATGTTTGAACTGTGATTGCTTGATTTGTTTACGGTGTTGAGACGTCCAACTAACTACCCGTTAGTCTCTCTCAACGTTTTTACAGAAGGGTGGTAATTAGTTAATAAGGTTCTGACTCACAGAATTAAATCGATAGACAGTTTCTTTATTCTCATGTCCTTTTTTCGCGGGAACCTCACGCCACAGACTTCCCGCTTGCGATACTCCAGGCAGAGAACGTGAAAAAACCAAGATAAAAAACTCGCTTAGAGCGCCTGCAGCCCTCTATAGTTAAAGGTGCGTAAGAAAAATATCCCTAGCGCGACCGGCCCCTGGTGCGGACGGCCGGCACAAATGCTAAGTCTCGATTCTCAACATTCTCCCACCTCTTTTGTGGAAGCAAAAGATCAAACAACTATAGAACGTACAATATTAAACAAAATAAGATCAATTACCAATAACCTAAAGCTTATACCAGCTATACATACCAGGTATATAAATATGAAACCGGAATTTGCCCATAGATGGCCCTAGCTGTCAATATAGTTACCGTCAAACCGCGTCATTGGCGCCATTTTCTTGTTTTGACATCTGATAAAGATTTTCAACTCACAACAATACAAGTTTCATACAACAGCATAGTCTTTAACATAGCGTTGAACATGTCGAATTTTGTGCCTGGAAACTACGATTTGCGGACAGCATTGATTTTCTGTTACCATTTGAAGAAAACTGCTGCAGAATCGCATCGAATGCTTGTCGAAGCTTACGGTGAGCATACTCTTGGTAAATCACAGTGCTTTGAGTGGTTTAAAAAATTCAAAAGTGGCAATTTTGACGTGAGAAACGAAGAACGTGGAAGAAAGGTGTGATCTATTATGAGCTGCTAAAACCTGGCGAAACCGTTAATACTGAACGCTACCGACAACAAATGATCGATTTGAATCAAGCTTTGCGTGAAAAACGACCAGAATATCAAAAAAGGCAACACAAAGTGATTTTGCTTCATGATAATGCACCATCACACACAGAAAAACCGGTCAAGGAAACGATTGAGGCGTTTAGTTGGGAAATACTTTCGCATGCGGCTTACTCACCAGACTTGGCTCCATCCGATTACTACTTATTTGCATCGATGGGACACGCACTTGCTGAGCAGCACTTCACTTCTTACGAAAATGTACGAAAATGGCTCGATGACTGGTTTGCCTCAAAGGAGCAACAGTTTTTTTGGCGTGGCATCCACAAATTGTCAGAGAGATGGGAAAAATGTATAGCTAGCAATGGGCAATACTTCGAATAAAATATTTTTTATCATTTTCATACAATAAACGTGTATTTTCTATACAAAAATTCCGGTTTCATATTTATATACCTGATAAGAACGCAATCGTGAACCACAAAATTGATCCATCACAGAGCGCATTCGTTATTCACGACACGTCGCCCTTATAAAACGAAATGTTACCGCGCTTCAACCTCTTATCCTTTCTTTACACGCCGATAAACATCTACCTCGCTGCGTTCCGAGGACCGACGAGATTCTGACCGAATATCGCGAAAATTCATTCGTACTCATCGCGCTGTTTCATGATAGATCTTAATATAGTTGTTATCGACTCGGCAAATCACATTATAGTAAACGCAGATATTCACTCGATAAAACCCTTTGATCTATTGCGCCGGCGGCGGCTCGTTGTGGATGACATCGGCATCGTCATCATCGGTCTCATCCTCGTTCTCGTCGTCGTCGTCGTTGTCCTTGTCGTGCTAGTTAACGTAATAAAGCGAGCAAATGGAATTGCCACGAACGGGCGGAACGCCCGTTATAATTCAACTCGAGGGAACAATTTGCCGGTACAATCCCAATCTGAGTAAGGTCGACTTGTCGCGCAAAACCGGCCCAAACTTCTACAATAAACAACAGCAACAACGTCGCCATTAGCGTCGCGCCGATCTCTCTCTCTCTCTGTCTCTGTCTCTCTCTCTCCCTCTCTTTCTCTGCATTTTCGAGATGCAACTTCGCACTGCGTCCGTCGCAGAATTGAACATTGCGACTTGATAGCGCAAATGGATCAACGATTAAAATGTGAACCGCGTCTGTGTGTGTCGTCTTTATGTATAATCAAAACGCATGTAGTGATTGATGTAACGGTCAAATAAAGTTTTGAAAACTTTTTAATACTCTTAAAAAAAAAAGTATCCATCTCACATCTTTAGAATAGATCGATAAAAAAATTATCATCTGTACATATCATAAATTATTCGAGGATTAGGATGAAATATCTTGATACCACTTCTTTTTAAATAATATGTAAGATTTCTTTCGTCTCGATCTACCATAAATCTCCCCATAAAAATACGTTTTAATAAAGAACGAGAAAAAATTTATTCGAAGAAAATTAATTAAATATATGATAAATTATTGATGTATATTCAATTTATCAATGTTAATAAATAAATGTAAAATACAATAGATATGAATTGTGTGCTGTTATTTATTCCAAAAAGAATTAATAGTCTCAGACAAGTTCCAAGCTGCTGCAGAATACTACCAAATCCACTACCGGATTGTAGTTCCGTTAGAATCGGCCACTTGGTACGTATTTAGTAAGTTATGTAGTCCGTTCGATAGCAATTCCGATAAACCTCTGGTTTACGTATGAGAGAGAGAGTGAGAGAGAGAGAGAGAGAGAGAGAGAGAGAGATAGCGCGAGGCATGGATGAGTAGGAAAAGAAAAGCAGAAGGCGCAGAAATAATTGACATTTTTTTATATAGAATAATAATATTTATTTAAAAATTGTGTATATCATATAAATGTGTGTGTGTGTGTGTGTGTTAAAAAAAAATAATAATGATAATAAAAAAATGATAATAATTATAATTTGAAAGTGACGCTCCATCTGAAACAGAAAAATACAAGTCTTATTAATAAATCTATCTGTTAATATTATAAAATTTTTAAAAATAGATACAATTAATTCTTCGAGTATTTCAATGCGGTTCACAACGAGACGTCAGCTGCGTTTTATCAGGTATATAAATATGAAACCGGAATTTGCCCATAGATGGCCCTAGCTGTCAATGTAGTTACCGTCAAACCGCGTCATTGGCGCCATTTTCTTGTTTTGACATCTGATAAAGATTTTCAACTCACAACAATACAAGTTTCATACAACAGCATAGTTTTTAATAGCGTTGAACATGTCGAATTTTGTGCCTGGAAACTACGATTTGCGGACAGCATTGATTTTCTGTTACCATTTGAAGAAAACTGCTGCAGAATCGCATCGAATGCTTGTCGAAGTTTACGGTGAGCATGCTCTTGGTAAATCACAGTGCTTTGAGTGGTTTAAAAAATTCAAAAGTGGCGATTTTGACGTGAGAAACGAAGAACGTGGAAGAAGGGTGTGATCTATTATGAGCTGCTAAAACCTGGCGAAAGTGTTAATACTGAACGCTACCGACAACAAATGATCGATTTGAATCAAGCTTTGCGTGAAAAACGACCAGAATATCAAAAAAGGGAACACAAAGTGATTTTGCTTCATGATAATGCACCATCACACACAGCAAAACCGGTCAAGGAAATGATTGAGGCGTTTAGTTGGGAAATACTTTCGCATGTGGCTTACTCACCAGACTTGGCTCCATCCGATTACTATTTATTTGCATTGATGGGACACGCACTTGCTGAGCAGCACTTCACTTCTTACGAAAATGTACGAAAATGGCTCGATGACTGGTTTGCCTCAAAGGAGCAACAGTTTTTTTGGCGTGGCATCCACAAATTGTCAGAGAGATGGGAAAATGTATAGCTAGCAATGGGCAATACTTTGAATAAAATATTTTTTATCATTTTCATACAATAAACGTGTATTTTCTATACAAAAATTCCGGTTTCATATTTATATACCTGGTACTAAATAAGTTTTTTCTCTCTTCTTGTAACTCAAACGGAAATACTCTCTTTAAATAGAATTCTTGATAAAATAACGAACAAACGAAACAATTTACATCTAAACTCACAAAGTGAATCTAATAGGTTTACGGACTCGACGTCCACTTCGCGTCACCACATTCAACGCATTCTCCCTGTCGTCTTCGGGATTCGTGCTCACTGTATCGTCTTCGAGAATCGTGCGCACTGTATCGTCTTCGGGATTCGTGCTCACGGTAGACACAGGATCATCTTCCTCCATCATGGTAGGTGTACCCTCCATCAGGTACAACCGCTGAATAGGACGAATGAGCTCTCCAGAGCTTAACTTCAGCCGGGCGACACGCGATATGCCATCCTTCCCGGGCAACAGATCCAGGACTCTCGCCAAGGGCTACTCCAAACGTTTACGGTTGTCTGAACCAACCAGTACGACATCTCCTATTCTTACAGGACGGGAAGACGGCAGTTTTCCGTGATGCACAAGCTCTGCCAGGTATTCTTTACGAAACCTCTCTTTTAACATACTGCGGACACGTGTCAAATGTCTATATCTTCCTCAAAGACCATTCTTCTCCAACTGATCGAGATCCGGGACGGCTACCTCGGGAATCTCACGTAGAAACATAGCCGGCGTGAGAGGGACTAGATCTTCACCGTCTTCGGCCACATAGATCAGTGGTCTTTGGTTGATAACCGCCTCCACATCGATCACACAGGTCGTTAACTCTGTGTATGTCAGGCGGGCCTTACCTAATATCCGTTTTAGTAAATTTTTGACCGATCTAATGAGGCGCTCCCAAAATCCACCCCACCAAGGTGCAGCCGCTGGATTGAATTTCAAGGAAATTCGTTGTATAGCTGTCTCCTGTTCAATCTTTCTCCAATCCAGGGAGTCGAGCAAATTTTCTGCACCAACGAAATTAGTGCCTCGGTCACATCGTATAGTCGAAGATCGACCACGCCTTCCAATGAATCGTCGTAGAGCTAATAGAAAAGCTTCGGCCGAAAGCAAAGTTATTAACTCCAAATGCACACACCTGTAGACTGCGCAGGTGAAAAGTACTATCCAAATCATTTCTCCGGTCTTCAGGTACACACAGAGATCAACTCCTGTAGTTTCAAAAACCATAGCGTCTTTAACACGATCTTTGGGCAGAGCGCCAGGAGTAGCTTCAGCTCGTTTTTGCTTGAATCTGCGACATATAACACAAGAAGCGATTATCCTTTTAATTTCTCGACGGCCGCGCAATATCCAGAATTGTTCTCGCAGCTTGCTCAAAACAAACTGTACTCCTGCGTGACAGAACCGATGATGGATCAAACGAATTAAGTGCCTCACTATTGGATGACCTCCTGGCAACAGAATTGGGAAACGAAGGCCTACTGAGTCGTTCCGATGGACGAGCTTTGTCTTGACTCGCACCAGTTTATCTTCTCCAAGTAATACTTCCAGTCCATGGAAACTTGCTCCCACCGTTTCAAACGATTCTTGTTGAAATAACCACATAAGTTTCAGTTCAGCCTTGTTGAGTTCTTCAGTTGTCAACTCCTCGCACAAACGTGGTTTGGATTTCTTTTGGGCTTTACACCAGGTCGCAATTCGCAAGATGAACGCCATGGCTCGGACATTCTTCTCAAAGCTGCCTAATCTAACTCCGAACATAGGTTCTTTAGGTATGTTGATCATCGATGCAATCGCTGTTCTTCTCTTCTCAGAAGCCACAATTTCTTCATCTGGTTCTTCTTCGACGGACGGCCAGCTCTGCGGCACGTCACTCAACCAATCTGGGCCCATCCACCAACTGGAGGCCTTAAGCCTTTTCGCCGTACACCCCCTCGACGGCAAATCCGCGGGGTTGAAATTCCCAGGAACATGTCGCCAATTTTTAACACTCGTACAGGACAGGATCTCTCTCACTCGATTGCCGACAAGCGTACCCCATTGATCATTGCGGCGAATCCATGCCAAAGCTGTTGTGGAATCTGTCCAATAAATGGTAGGTATTCCTTCAAGTTCCAACGATGTCTTCACACTTACAGTCAATCTGACTGCGAAGAGCACCCAAACAATTCCAGACAAGTTATAGAGATCCTCCTAATAGGAGTTACTCTGCTCTTGGCTTGAAGCAGCTGTACCGAAACATTGTTGTCCCCTTGGGTTCGTAGATACACGACCGCTGCATAAGCTTCTTGGCTAGCGTCAGCAAAAACATGTAATTGCCAGCCCTCACGATGAATATTTCCTCCGGTAATGTTCCAAGGGATGCGAATAGTTGGAAGGTAAGCCAGTTCCTCGTACCAGATCTTAAACTCTGAAATTACTTCCTCTTCTAAGGCTTCATCCCAGACTCTCTTTGCAAGCCATGCTTGTTGTAGTATTTTCTTAGGTCTCAGGAGAACAGGACATAAAAACCGATAGGATCAAAGATTTGATTGACTACCGACAAAATTGTGCGTTTAGTGACGATTGCAAAGGCCTCCTGATTCTTCCAATCCGTCCACAACCTATCTTCTCGTCGGTCCTACATCATGCCAAACACTGGGGTCGTATATCCCTTTTCCCTTTTGTCAGGCTTATTGGACAAGTTCACGTCGTTTGTCCCCGTCATCAAGATTCCTTCACCGGTTAGTTCTCCAGCGGTCCAGACCCACTGGCGTAGTTCCATTTTTGCATCAGCCAACAATCGGCAGGCGTCATTCTTGAAGCATCTTAATTCTTCTACGGTGTTGACAGACGTCAGCGCGTTGTCTACATACATAGACTTCAATAGTCTTTCCGCTACCTCTTGTTCTTCTGGGCCTACATTAGAGAGATGAAATCGGATTACGGCAGCAAGTAAGAAGGGACTGCAATTGACGCCAAATACTACCCGTTTGTGTCGCAGCACCATCAGTTGTTCTTCACGTCCTCCCTCCCACCATAGAAACCGGAGGAAGTCTCGATCTTCAGCCGCCATCTCAATCATCAGAAACGCTTTCCGTATATCAGCAGATACCCCAATATTGCTACAACAAAATCGATTCAACACGGATGGCAGGAGCTCAATTAGATTGGGCCCTTTAGCTAGACAATCATTCAGCGATGGTGTACGTCCACTCTTGCACGAAGCATCAAACACGGGACGGACCGGCGTCGTCAAACTTCCAGGCTTCACTACTGGCCGATGAGGCAGATAATGTCCACGATTGTTTTGCTCTTCTGCTGGCACTATCTCTACAATTTCCTCCAAGATCCAGTCTCGGAATATTTTATCGTACTGTTCTACCATGTTCGTTGACTTCAACCTCCTCAGGGTGCCATCGAGTCTTTTCTTCGCAGCATCGAAGTTGTCCGGAACCTGTTTCAACTCATCCATCCAAGGCAGATTAACACAATATCTTCCATCCGAATTTCTACTTACGGTTTTGAGAAAGTGTTGCTGGGCTTCTGTATCTCTTTCCGTTTATGACTTATAAAGAGCTGGTTCTCGGATGCCAATAAGCTCCAAGTCCCACAAGTTAGTCACGTTACTCTCGGCCATCATGGATGTACATAGCATTAGCGACGCACTGTTGGATTCATATTTCCTCAATTCTCCCATCAGAGTCCATCCATACGCCGTTTCGAGCGCGATCAAGCCGCATCTCAAACTTTTTCTTCTCCCAGTGAGCAACGATGCAAAATTATCAGCTCCGATCAAGACCTCAATCTCGGGTGAACCTTCTCCCACGTCATTCACGAATACCCTTTTTTGATTAAGATCCTCGATTACGTTCTGCTTATTAGCTCTCGGCAATAGCCCGCAGATTTTTTCCTGGTCCAACAAAATCAACGATGTCTTGACAGATCCATCCAAACTTTCGATACTCACTTGGTATTTCTGATGTTGCCTGATTTCCCGAGAACATCCGAAGAGAATGTGACACATATTCACGGTTCCGGCAGTTTTCAAACCGAGTTTGGCTGCCGTGCTCTTGAGTAAATAGGATCTATGACAACCGCTGTCAAACACGAGACGTACTCTTCGTCGTACGCCATTGTTTTCCAGATTCACGAACACAGTCTGTAATATGACATCTCCGGAACACTGCATATTAGACATCGAAGGTGTGGTTTGATTGGGTGTCAGTTTCGATGTAGATTCGGGCACCGATTGATTCTTCTCTACTTCCGGACACAACATCGAACTGTCTTCTTTGACAAAAAGCGCATTTTACTACGGCTTTGCAATTTCGCGACCCATGTCCAGTCTTTAAACATGCGTAGCATGCTTTCTTTTTAGTCACGACTTTCTTACGATTCTCTAGATTCATGGAGGCTGCCTTCGCGCAGAGTTGACTCTCATGAGCCTTATCACAGAATAGACATCCAACCTTCGAACTCACAAATAGCCCAGATGCCGTAGGACCATCTTCTTTTCGGAAAGTAACGTTTTTATTTGCCTTCCTTTCCGGCTTCTTTTGAATTTGAAATCCCGCACGTACTAATTGACGTTGGTCTTCACACTGGACTTCCAATTTCAGAAAATCTAGCAGTAGTTGCAAATCGGTTTGGGGCGGCCTCATCGTCGACCCATCCTTGCCCCAGTTTGGACTTCTTTGCCACGCAGTAAGCACATCTTCCGGCAACATAGATTTGACGATTGGATACAGAAACGTCAACATCTGGTCGCTGCTAACTCCTAAGGTCTCGAGCGCTTGTAAATGAGCTGAGAGTTTGTCAAACATTTTTGAAAAACTTACATTTTGCTGGCTTCCATTGATTATGACCATTTTTACCAATTCACGGATGTACACTTGCTTAAGTATCTTCCCATTACCGAATCGCTCTTGTAGTGCTTTCGATGCCTTGCCGTAATTCTCACCAGACTGAGGAAAAGTATCCACCAAATCCGCTGCTTTCGTCCCTGGCGTCATACATTGTACGAGATACTAAAATCTGGCCGCATTGTCTAACTCTTCGTCTTCGTGAATTTTCTTAAATTGAAACCAAAAAGGAAGCCATTCTTTTACGTCACCATTAAATTTACGCGGTTCGTACTTCGGGAGCTTATACGTCTTCCTTCTCCTCATCTCTGCATGCACCACTGACCTGTTACTGCTTTCGGACGATTTCCTGCTCTCTTCGTCATCGGTAATGTCGCGCACCTTCCTTCGAGTCTTGATAAATCGTTTCTCGTAAACATCTATTCCGGATTGTTCCGTATCGAGCGCCGCTTCGTCGATCGGGACTGTTTCCAATATGTGTTGCCTAACAGTCAAATCATAACCTCGGATTTCTTCTAACACCTGTTCTAACCTAGTCAAAGAACCCCGCAAATCACCGAAATTGGGTTCCTTCGCCGTCAATAACTGGTCTACCTCATTCGCGGTCCTAGTGAATGACCGGCGTGCAGCCGTTCTTGCCGCCTTTGCCGCGTCCATCTTGCTTCTTCTTTATCACGACGCACGAACGTCCGTTACGCCAAAATAAGACACCACTAATCACGTCGGGGTCACCAAAAATGTTGAGACGTCCAACTAACTACCCGTTAGTCTCTCTCAACGTTTTTACAGAAAGGTGGTGGTTAGTTAATAAGGTTCTGACTCATAGAATTAAATCGATAGACAGTTTCTTTATTCTCATGTCCTTTTTTCGCGGGAACCTCACGCCACAGACTTCCCGCTTGCGATACTCCAGGCAGAGAACGTGAAAAAACCAAGATAAAAAACTCGCTTAGAGCGCCTGCAGCCCTCTATAGTTAAAGGTGCGTAAGAAAAATATCCCTAGCGCGACCGGCCCCTAGTGCGGACGGCCGGCACAAATGCTAAGTCTCGATTCTCAACATACGGCCTTACGGTTACGATTAAAATGTTTTCACGTGCAATGGCCTTAATAAACATACCATTATACTCTGAGGAACTCTGTAACCATGTCAAATTTTTTATAAGTCAACGAAGTTTAATTCTGAATCTTTCCTTTATAGCTTATAATCGATATACATACGCAAACACACATCTAAAATATAATCTACACACACATACACACACACTTATATATATATATATATATATATATATATATATATATATATATATATATATATATATATATATATATATATATATATATATATATATATATATATATATATATATATATATATATATATATATATATATATATATATATATATATATATATATATATATATATATATATATATATATATATATATATATATATATATATATATATATATATACATATATGTATATGTATATATTATATACAGGGTGTCCCAGAATTCGCGGACACGGATTGCATAGCGTGATTGTCCGTGCTAAAAGAAACAACTTTTTTCTTTGGCAAAATTGCGTCTGAACAATACTGCGCGCGCACGGCGTGCGTGAGCGTGTGTTTACGCTATTTTACTATTTCGCTAAAGATTTTATAAGAACTATGCATAATATCTAAATATTGTAGACGGGCGAGACATTATCTCGAAAGAAGATTTGAAAGAACAGTTTCATTTTGCAATAGCAACATAAAAAAATTAGACATTATTAAACATTTAATCGGCCCTTTTCAGAGCCACAAACATTTTTAGAATGTTCGAACAATAATCTTGGATCAAAACTATTCATGTGTTATCTAATCTACTTATTTTACTATCAGTCGTTGCTTTGGTGATATCAATTAGAACTTTTATGAAGTGTTTTATTCAAAATAACGATATTTAGATATCATGCACAGTTCTTATACAATTTTTAGCGAAATAGTAAAATAGAGTACAACGCGCTTACGTGCTGTCCGCGTGCCGCCCCTGAGTCATGCGTAATCTAGAGCGCTCATTCGTTATCTTAAAGTTGCTCTCATTTAAAAAGTATTGTTCAGACACAATTTTGCCAGAGAAAAAAGTTGTTTCTTTTGGCA